CGTCACAAGGGGTTGCGTGGGGGTGCGGCCCGCACCCGGGTGACACCATTGGATGGGGTGACACCAATGCCGAGGGCACGTGGCCTGGTAAGGCGCAGGGAGTGGGGGGCGCTTGATTGTCCCCACCCTTTCCTGCCCTGGCCGGCCTGTGCTCGTATGAACGGTCTGGTAGGAATGTTAAGGGGGACCCCACTTTTTTCGGAACGAAATGAATCACACATGTCTAATTCACATCCTTCTGCCAGGTCAGTAACTCTCCAAGTGGTGAAGGATAAGGGGTGACAGGTACCAATCTTGCATCTTCAAAAACCAGTTAGCAAAGGCAATTCTTATTTTGCCATCCTTACTGGTTCCATTTAATCGTAGCCCAAATTGTATGAGTGTACAATGGATAATCGCCCTTCAGATATCTATAATCCTTTATCCTGTGTGAATATATGCACAAACGTTCTTTTTTTTTCCTTTTCAAGTGTAATTAAGTTTGAATGTTCTGATTGTAATATCACATTATGGCCACTAAATGCCGCTAAAGGAGCATAAGAAATACATATTTATTTTCTATGCTCCTCAGCTACATCTAGTGACCGTAATGCAATATTAGAATCAGAATATTCAAATTTAATTAGACTTATAAAGGAAAAAAACGTTTGTTTGTGTATATATTTGGAGAAGAAGGAACGTTTACAGATATCTGGTAAATGGCAATGCAAATTGTTTATAAAATCAACAAATTAAAGTATTTGTAAACCGAATTATTAAAATCACATATCAGTGATTTACATGTCAGTGGAATTTCAAAAGTAACTTATAATCAAACAAATACTAGGGGATTTTGCCATGAAGAAATTTGCTCAAGCATTTCACATTATAGGGTGACAACATTCTCTTCCTGCCTTCCAATTGTGCTTCTGTGTTCTCACACAGGCCTCTGATGAAGACTACAAGTGGTCATTCCAACACACAAAATGCAGACATGTTCCCCTGTAGTCACCAACAGAAAACTCACCCTGTAAAATCCCAAGCATCCATTAAAGGAATAAAGTGGCTGCAAAGAGGCTGCAGGACATCAGCAGCACTCATATGTTACAAAGGGGTAAACAAGGTATTTTATTACAATAAGGCAATTGTTTATGATACACAGTGCTTCAGCAAACTAAGGGGTCAATTCACAGAGCTAGCTGAAGGACCAGCTTCAGTTGCAGGAACCCTCCTGTACGGGCTATCCACTATAGCCTGTACAGCTGCCGGAGGCGGCTGAGCAGCTCAGCTGTGCCGAAGGCATATGGTTCGGCTCGACTGAGCCGAAGTGACACCTCGCAAGTGACAGCTGGGAGGAGCCAGCCGTGATCTCACAGCTGGCACCGCCCAGTTGTAATGAAACCTGGGAACGTTGAACTGTCATTAAACAATGACAACTGGGCAGAGCCGGCCGTGACGTCACAGCCAGCTCTGCCCAGTTGTTATTCATTGGCCGGGACTTGCTAGAAAACTCTAGCACGTGCCGGCCAATAGGAACCAGTTGGGCGGGGCTATCTGTCACTGCTAGCTCCGCCCAATTGTTTTTTTTTTCTTTAAATATCTTTGATTTTGTTTTTTAGATTTAAAATGTATTTACATTTTATAAAATATTTTTACAACTTTATTTTTTTTTTTACTCTTTTCATTAAATTGCTATTCTGCTCGATAACACGGAGGTACCGAGCAGACTAGCCGAGCTGAATGCTGCTCGGTGGCATTCGGCTATTCACTCACTGCCATTCGGCCCCTATGAGAACAGGGGCGAACGGCAGCGAGTGAGCTGCCGGAGCGTCGGCTCAGCCGATCCAGAAGTTGGATCGGCTGAGTCGAAGTTCTGCAGCTGAAGGCAGCCGATGTACAACCGTACTGAGCCGTAGCGAATAGCAGAACGTTGTTCGGCTCACTTTACTATGACTCGGTTATTTACTCGGCTGCCTCCGGCAGCTTAGTGAGTAACCTTATAAATGTCACACAGTTAGGGCTTACATCTACTTTAGGATTCATGTTGACTGGCATCCTAGTCGAGCTAATGGTGGAGGTATACAGGTATCAGAGGGATGCTATTTGACTGTAATAATGTAACCTGCTATTTGTACATTTAAAAAAAATATTACTAAAAAATAAAATATACACAAGCCATAAAATTCGGAAGGCAATGAAAAATGTCAATATAAATTTGCAGGAACGTGCACACATATTGAATCAATTTTTGTTTTTAACCTCTAGATTCATTAACAGCACACAGTTGCCCTATATGCATGTACAATATATTTTAATTTGTACTGAAAATCTAAAACAGATGTTTTATCTTGTTTCTCTTCCTGTCCTCTAGAGATAGATATAATTAATTCCTATGGGAGCTTTTAGACGGCATGTAAAATTAATACGGCCTAGAAGCTCAAGTCACCCATAAAAGTCTATTTTTTAGCATCACAGCAGGAATCGCCCAGTAGATACAATATTAGCATTTCTCCCCATGGTTATAGGGCTGTAATTGCTAATTATAGGACTGGGACTTTTTGTTTTAATATATTATAAATAGGGCTCGAGTGATCTGGTGGTCATGGAGTTATATTTCTTTCACAAAACAAGACTGCCAGAACAAGTCTATTAGGGGTAATAGAAGATATACTGGCCGATTAAAACCTAGGCATCAGCACCCTGCCAGTGTGAGCTACTGCTTTTTGCTATCCTCCCTCTATTTTAGGCAATGCTCTGGCATCAGTTGCAAGGACAGTAATATGAATATATTTAAAAATGTGTAGTGTGTATACTGAAACATGCCAAAATGCGCCCACCTACCCACCGGCAGAAGGTGAAATGGATGAAGCTTGCACGTGTGTGAACCCATATTGGCTGGGCCAAGGCAGTATTGACAGCTTTATTATTACCATGTTTTGGTCCATTGGGAAATCAAATGCGAAGGGGGAACTGCTGCGATGTGAGTAAATTATTGTGATTTAGTCATAAGCATGAAGAAACAGAACCAGCATTTCCTTAATGTAATAATAACCATCTGGGATGGTATCTAATGATTCATCCAAAGTGAAGTTTTTTCTGAGATTTGTCCCTTTTATAAAAGCTTGTACAACGAGTCTTGTGATTTACACACATTTTTCACACTGCATAGCCAGACAAGTGACACATGCAGTTCTTAATTAAAAACATAGAAAAACATCCCCACCCTCCTAAAAGTGTATATCAGGGCAAAATAAAAATAAAAAAACATATGCACTACATCTCTCCTATACATGCACATGTTCCCATGTTTTATTCCTTTAAAGACACTGAAAGTACAGAAAAATATCTGATGATTTGGCAGAAATACAATCAGCTACTAAGTCCTTTGTGGGCTAACAACACACAGCATTTTGATAGACTGAGCGGTGTCAGTCCTGCCCAGTTGTCTTTTGCTAAACTACTTAAGCGTTCCCCTTTCCTATTCTCCACAACATAGACAGTAATTATTCCATAGTCCAAGGTAAGAGCTAGGAGAGCTAATTAGACCCCTTGTGATAACACAGGAAGTGTTCAGAGTACAGCTCTAAATTTTGGAAATGATCAACAGGTTTTATTTTGCACTTATTGTGTAGATATACCAACACACTTTATATGATATGTTTAGCAGACCAAAAGGGAGCAGATAAGAAAGGTTTATTGTTAGAATTTACCTACACTTCTAACTCAGCTAGACAGTCCCCTGCAAGCTGGTGGCTACTTAAGCCTTCCTTCTGGTGGCAGCCTACTCAGGCAGTTATTGCACCGATGTGGCCAGCTCAAAAGGTTTTGGCAAGAAGGAGGCCAACCCTGGTTATGAAGACATAAGTGGGCGCCTGGGTGGGATGGGGGGCAGATGTAAAGATGTAGTTGCACTTTAAGCAATTGATTTTTCTGTCTCACCTATCTCACTCCTTAACTTCCAATCTTTTTAATGGACATTTAATCGGGATCATTACTGCTGTCCGATGAGCACAGAGTTGGCCCAGAAAGTAGTAATGTTAAAGTGGCAAATAGCAGAGTTATCTCACCATCCAGATGCGAAGTGTGCATGGATGGCCAAAATTGCAATTCATTGCCAAGAGAATCGTAAGCATGTACTGTATATAGTTCAACTGTGTATTTAGCTGCCTGGTAATCAAATTTAAAGTGAAAAAGCCCCTAAACTGTTAACATAACAACTGGTAAAAATGTTTATTTGAGAAAAAACTGAAATAAAGTAGGCATGCGAAAAGACATCTGAAGAACACTGCAATTAAATTGCCGTAAGGTGACCATTGCTATTCCTTCTGATATCTCATCTATCTGTGCATAGACATTGTATTAAACACTTTACAGTCCCGCTCTCCTGTCACATCTCTCTAGCAATCACTAGAGAGCAGCTGAAAAAACCTGTCCCAAGTGACTGGTATTATTATTTTTTCTATTGGCTTTGCTGTCAGCTGCTATCTAGGGATTACTAGAGAACTGTCACATGATAGCGGTAGCAATAAAGAACTTACAATAGTCGATATGTACAGGTACTGTTATATGCAATAGCAGAAGAAACAGCAGGGGACACTTAAAGGGAAAATAAAGTTGAAGTGTAACTTTAGGCAAAATGTTCAAAATGTGTGAGCAGGAAGGGTTTCTTTTTATTGCAGAAGCGGCATACTCTGTCTCTTCTATAATAAAGTATTCTTACTTTCCTCCTCACACTTTTTACAGTGTACACTGAGTTGTGCATGCACAGCTCAGCATTCAATTCTGGCATGCACTTGGTGCCAGAATAAACTAACTCCAGGTACATGCACGTTCGTTACATCAACCTGTCCTTGTCAATCAAGATAGCTGAACATCATTAACCTGGAAAAAGTTGTCAAGAACATATCAGTACAAACAAGAAAGCTCACAGAAGCCAAACAGCTGTCTGATTGTGGAGAGTTTGTAATGTGCTCAATTTGTTATGGCAGATGGTTAGAACTATAACACTAAACTATACAAACCTTAGGAAGAGATGCTCGAGATCCAGAGCTCTGAGTGGTCATGGTCAGCACAGTGGTGATGCCAAGGCCAACTCTGGCAGGTGCAGCATCCATGTTAATCCAGAAAGACACCCAAGAGAGAATGACAATTAGCAGGCTGGGAATGTACATCTGAATGAGATAGTAACCCATCTGTCTCTCCAAGTGGAAGCGAGCTTCAATGCAAGTGAATTTGCCTAGAAGATATTAAGCCTGATTAACACTTTGATTCTCATTTACTACAAATGCCTAAAACATATATGATTATTTGTTTGATGTTCCATAAAAAAAAGAACTGTAGTGTTGGGGAAAATTACATCCTGTACACAAGCACCACCCATTCTGCATATGGCCACTGTAAAAAAAAGAGGACGTGGAAGAGTCTGGGGTCATTCTGACCTTCTGGGACAATGAATGGGAGTTAAGACTGTCATGCCTGATGACCCCATCACACCTTTGCACTGTGCTAATCTATGTTATACTTTTGTTATAACGTGCCTTGTGTTAAACTAGACCTTCCAATTCACCCCAAAATCTAGACTTGACCCTTTTTTCTGATGCAGTGCACTAGTGTGTTACTGTGCATTGTGGTGCACTCCAACACAGGTCCATTGCCTTAGTGTGTTGGGGTGTCATACAGAAAAAATGACACCTCAAAACACTAACACAGGCATACTGCAGTACTCTGTGTTGAGACATTGAGCATGTCACTGCAATGGAAAGGTGTGAAGCCGGCTTAACTCTTTCACAACCTTAACTCACATATAACGTTCTTGAAGCCTGTTGTCAGATGGGATAGAAAAACCATATAAAACCCAATAAACCTCTAGGATTGTGACCTGTGAACTTTAATTCATGTTTTAATATATCCAAGAAACAAGAACAGGGCACATTTTAGTAGTCATGATCCTGAAGCTACACTAAGGGTTTGGATCTTCAGACTCCCATCTGGCTTCCAGGCTGGTTTGCAGTGCTTTCTATGTGAGTTGTGTTAGTCCTGTTTGGAGATGCTGCTGCTTATCCGCTATGTCCTGTGGTGAGTGTAGGCCATGCATATGCTGGTAATTAATCAAAGCTACTTGGCGTTTAATGGGTCAGTCTGCCCAAAAATGATATTTCAGTGTTTTAGTAGATGGCAGAGAGTTAAAGTGACACTAAACTCAGGAGTTAAATCTTAAAAACACATTCAAGTGCTTTAACTATTAACAAAAATGTATCTTATTTGTGTATCACTAGCTGTAGATCTTCAAATCATCTTCAAAAACCCAACAAAACACCACAATTCATGGCTTGTTTCCTTCCCTTAATTTCAGTTTCTTAAAAATAATGAATTATAATATGTTAAAAGTGGCCTATATTTTTGTCAATTTCTTTTTGCAAAAAATCAGAGGTCATTATAAACCAGCAAGTGTAATAAATGTAAATAATGTTTCTTGTGGGGTATTTTTTAAGGTTTCAAAATATTGCAAAAACTACCCTTAGCATCTTTATAAAAAGGTGTAACCTTTCAAGTCAAAATAAATTAAATAATAGCAAAGTATTGATTGAAGACTTTTATGAATAAGTCCGTAAACTGTTAATAACATAACAAAATGTTTACTTTAGAAAAAGTTGAAAGTAGGTATGCCAAAAGACACCTGAAGAACATGCAATTATATTGCCTTAAAGTGACCATTGCTATTCCTTCTGATATCCCATCTAAAAATATCTGTGCATGGACATTGTGGTAAACATTTTATGCTCTTCTTTCACATCTCTCTAGCAATCGCTAGAGAGCAGCTTAGAAATATCTTTTTTTAAATCCACTTTCTTTTCCCAGGTGGCTGGAATTATTTGTTTTTCTATTGGCTTTGCTGTCAACTGTTATCTAGGGATTACTAGAGAACTGTCACATGATAGAGGTAACAATAAAGAACTTACAATAGTCGATATGCACAAGTACTGTTAGATACAATAGCAGAAGAAACAGTAGGGGCCACTTAAATGGACAGTAAAGTTGCCTGGCATATATTTCCTTTATGATTATAAACAGTACAAAAAATACATTTTGTAAAAAAAAGTTATGTTTTTGTAGTTGGATAAATATGAAATATTGCTTATTACTATCTTTTATTCTATATGCAACCAGCAGGTGGCTCCTTTTTACATGTTTTCTTGGCTTTTCCTCTTTTAAAAAGAGGCCTATTTTATTTTCAGGGCTCAATAGCTCAAGCTGAACTTTGCACACAGAAGTGAATGAGCCACAACAATAGCTCCTTCCTCTCACTACCTTTGTCAGTCTTTAAAGACTACTCAATACCAAGATTCAATCAAAGACAGAGTGTCCTCTCCCTTTGCACTTAACTAGAATATACTGTAATGCCTTGTGTTATAGGTGTACAAGTATTAAACACGTATTTTATATATAGTAAATATTAAAATAATAATTATTGAATATAACATTTATATTAAAAATGTATAAACTTAAAAAAAAAACACAAGTACATTTTATTAAAACCTATAGTTTCCATTTAAACCTAATGGTTTCCCTTTAAAAACAGAAATTCTGGTTGTCAGCTTAGAAAATGACATTGCAACGATAGAGGATACATACCAGTGCTATAGTGTTTGGTGCAGTACCGCAGATCCTTTTCCTCCTTCATGATAAACTGCGGCAGGGTGAGGCCGTCTGCCACCTGTACAGCACCCACTTCTTCCCACTCGAAGATCAGATCATTCATTGTATAACCAACTGTACAAAGGCAAAACATGGCAGGAGTTATTTTTATAAGGTGGAAAAAAATGGTGCAATCCCACCCCGGATTCAGTAACCTAATGCTCTATGGGGGGCGTATGGGCTGCTTTGAAACCCATGGCGATGGACACAAGTGCTCATTATTACACCCGCCTAGGTTTTTGCATCATGTTTGAAAATCTGTGTGATGGAGCTAATTCTTCCTTTTTAGATCTTTCTCACTATATAGAAAGAAGGAAGTATTTGAGTGTTCTGATTGTATTGGCCATGCAGAGGGTCCCATCTTCATTAAAGGCAGAGAGCCACCTCCCTACTTTTCTTAGGGAGACATTTGCCCAAAACATTGCTGACCCCACCTTTACCACTGTAATGTGTTTGTATACTGTTATGCTTAGAATTTGAAGTTTTTACCGCTTCATTAACTGACATGGATAATATGCTAATACTTTAAAAATGTGAAATCATATTGATAACAAAATTTAGCAAGATTAGCTCTTGCTCAGGTGGCATCCTGTAGTAGAATCTTAGAATGACATTTTAGCCTATCCTTTGTCTGTCTTCTATTTCTGTGAGCACTGGGTAAGAATGACAATCTCAGTAATATTCAGTCCAATAATATTGCCACTTGCTCAGCTGACTTAGTATTTCCATAGTAAATAAACTAAGCAACTGCCATCCTGATTCCACCTTTTGCCAAATATAGATGCTTATATACAGCAATAGACTACACAGCAACCATTCATATACTAAATGTAACATTTTTGTAGAGATGCCTAAATGTTTGCAAACAGATTTTTGCATTAGTTGAATGTTTTTAGCTTTACAGTACACATGTAATAAACCTGGACTTATGAGTATGGTTGGGCTCGATGTTCGAGCCGAACGTGAGTTCGACTCGAACATCGGCAGTTTGTGTGTTCGGCAAACACACAAACTGTAAGGGTGTTCGCCCGAAGAGCACCCCGCACAAGGCACGGTGCCTTGTGAGCCCTGATTTGCTAAAGCCTTGCACCTGACCACAGGTCAGGTGCAAGACTTTGCCCAATCAGGGCACAGAGAACAGTGAGCCAGGATTGGGCAAAGTCATGAGGACTCTGCCCAATCATGGCTCACCCTGTTACAACTGTAAACAGTTGGACGTAGCTAGCTGCCACTGCTAGCTCCGCCCAAATATGTTATCGGCATCTGTCAAAATGCCATTCTGCAGCAGGTGTTTGTCACAGCGGACGGGACGGCGGTCATTGTTTTAAAAAAAAAAATTATTTCAATTTTTTTATTGTTTTATTTTTTATTTCGTCGAGTCGTCATAGTCGTGGACAACGCTCGATGTCGTTATTTACCCTGGATTACATCGGTGGATCAATTATTTTGTCAAAACATGCCTTTTGTTTTTTTTCAAAAGTCTGGACTTTTTATTCACAATTTTATTTAACCATTTAGTGAATGGGTAGGGGTACAAGAACCTCTTACTCATTCACAAGGGGGGGCGGCATCTGGGTTCCCCTTTATTAAATGGATACCCTGATGTAAATAAGCCCCTTGCCCGCACCTCCACAACCAAAGCCCCAGGGCTTGTGGGGAGGAGGCCCTGCTCCCCATCTGCACAGGGACAAGGTGCTTTTCCAGGGGCAACCCTTCCAGTCCCGAGGGCATGTGGCCTGGTATGGGAGGGAGGTGGGGGCCGCTCGCTCATCCCACCCACTTTCCGGCCCTGCCAGTCCTATGCTTGGATCAAGGGTCTGGTATGGAATTTTAGGGGGGACCCCACGTTTTCCCCCCATTTTTGGGGGTGGGGTTCCTCCTTAAAATTCCTACCAGACCTTAAGGGCCTGATATGGCTTTAAGGGGGAACCCCACACACTTTTTTTTTTTAACATGGGGTCCCTCCTCAATATTCCTACCAGACCTTAAGTGTCCGGTATGACTTGTAGGGGGAACCCCACGCTTTAAAAAAAAAAAAAATTGGTCCCTCCTAACATTCCTACCAGACCTAAAGAGTCTGGTATTGTTTGGGAGGGGGAACGGTACGCTTTAAAAAAAAAAGAAATTTTTCTTTCAGAAATGTCAGTTTTGCTGCAGCAGGTTCTATACATTGTAGAGATTTGTCACTTTACAGACAGGTTAAGGGGACCCCCCGACATGATATTTAAATAAATGTTTCATTTTTATTGTTACCCTTTAAGTAATGTTAAAATCACTGCTCCTTTAAAAACTGTATTTTTTTAAAGTTTTTTTTTCATTGATTCCTGTCCCCCAGGGCAGTACCCGTATCCCCATACACCTTTTATGGCCAATAACTTGCATATAAGCCCTCCTAAAGGGGACAATTGTTTTTGAAAGTTCTACCCCCACAGACTTGCACTGAGTTCGAGTTCGCCATTTTGGGATGTTCTAAAGTTTGAATTCGAACCAAACTCAGACCTGTTAGGCTCATCACTACTTATGAGCTTATGATGAACACAAATCCATAAGCAGATGTTACCCTAGAATGTAAGAAAACTTTCAAAAATTGTTTTTTGATCTCCCCACTATGCTAATCTAACCCACCATCCTCAGCTAAATACTTACCAATTTGTGGCATCAGGTCTCCCAGGTTACACAAATGACCCTCCAGCTTCTTCCTCAGTTGCCTGTGCATGTGCAACAGAACCCCATTAAGTCCTATGAGGCAGAGAGTAGATACTGCCTCCCTGCCCCATAGAAATGAATGGGGTTCTAGTTGTAATAGTTACGTTTGGGCAGCGTTTAGAAGCACATGTAAATGTGATGTTGAACCCCAGGGGACTAAAGCATTTAGCTGAGGATGGGGGTGGTGGATTAGGTTAGCACAGGGGAGAGGGTTAGGCAAGAGAAACTTAAAACAAAAAATGCTTTTTGAAAGTTTCCTTCCACTTTTAGTGAGTACTGGATGTCAAAATGATCAATAGACGCAGAGTTGAAATTTTATACAAAGCATAACCTTTCCTGTAACCAGAACGTAGCCCTGACCCCTTGAGCCTCTCTGTTGGATCGAAGAGGTTGACCATCACATTAAAACGAAATCGGAAGGCTTGGAAAGGGGAAAGGTCAAGCTCAGCTTTTATAGGGAGTGCTGACATTTGCATACAGCTTCACTTGTCTATAGGCTAACTTCTAAAAAGCTTTAACACAAGCCTAAGACATTGCTTTTTTCAGCCAAATGAATGTAATTTTAAATATTATTGGACTGAAAATAACTGCCACTTTTAAAAATATAAGTATCATCCTAGTCTGTTTGCTTTGTTAATTGGCCCTTATATCTCTAGTCATTTCACATGCAAATTTTACTGGTGCGAATCTCTGCTTATGGACTTTTTCATAAGCTCAGTTTATGACAACTGTACCATGATCAAGCATTGTATACAAGACATTGGTTTTCTTGAACTTACAGCTTTCCAGCTGCATGATGCAAGTTTGAACATCCATCGGAAAATTTTTCAGATCCATGGGACACGCCAAGGTTAGAGTCAACCTGTAAGAAAACCATTAACTTGTTAGTCCCCTTCTTTAAGACTGACTGTTGGATAAACATTTGTTTCTACATAGGTTAACAACACACTATTTTCTGCATAGCTAGCCTAAGCTGTGTGTGACCTGTGTGGAGTGTCATCCTGTGAGGAATACAGTTGGAATATGACCTTTTCCTTCATTTAGTAAATTTATTTTATAATTGATAGGCATGCATGCTGCCAAGCTTTATTTTATAATAGATACCGGCTCCTCCTCCATTGTTGTTATCCCATGTACTTAAAAAAAAAAAAATAGATGGAAGATGGGTAACAGGGCAAAAGAGAGCAGGTGTCCCTTGCAAACTAGCTCCCGGGACAGATTTTACACTGGTTACACTTGGCCTGTGCCTATAACCAGTTTTGCCCTGTATAGTTATCTACCAGACATTTTGAATTGAGAAAGCTGGTATTATAACCTGATGTTGACCCTATTAGGTTTAGCACTTATATTGTAAGGAAGCAATTTCTGTGCTGTATCTATACAGATAATATTTTCAAGCTCTTAATGATCCTTCCCGCAAGTTCCAATAAAATGGCAGGAAGCCTGGAGCAAAAGAAACTACCCAACGAGGACGCAAAGTCAGCATGGTCCCCACAATGACATGATTTGTCAGTGCTTGTTCACTAGGATAATGCAAGTGATAGAGGCAGCTGTTGAGACTGATGATCCTAGTGAAGTGCAAAAGCTTTATCTTTTCTACAGTCTTCACTGAGGGCTGGCTGTTATGAGAATAAATATTGTTTGGGATAAGGATTGAAATGTTTGTAACCTTGAGCTTTGGAAGCTAGGTTTGGATGCTGTCTCCCTAAAACATGCTGATAGGGGAATGATCACTAGGTCTACAGCTCCGGCTGCTATAATGAATGGAAGATACAAATAAATTATATGTAAATGTTTTTGTAGGTGGAACAGGCATGTTTCCAAAACTGTTGGAATGTTGACCCAGAGCTTGGCATTATATCTATCTCCTCCTCTCCTCCTTGGCATTATATCTATCTCTCGAGGCCACAGTTGACTAACCGAATGCTGTACAGAACATTGCCGTTTTTGAAGATCCTTAGCAACTTGTTGTCAGTAGTGATTTCATGAAAATTTGCCCCTTTCTCATTGGCAAAGAACAGATCAGGCTTCCAGATGGAGTCCAACATAGAGGGATCCAAATCTAGGGAGTCATCAGGAAATTCATGAAAAGCCAGGCGGGGGTCATTCCATTGCTGACGCAGGAAAATATTCAGCCTGTAATCCTGTAATAAAATAAGAAGTAACACAGGTGCATAAGAATTCTAATTCTGCACTATAACATTTTACATGTAATAAATCAAATGGTTAAACTGGGCATGGTAACACAAACAATGTGGTCAGGTAACATGTCCTATTTTTAATCAGTGGTAGCCCACCATGCACTCTGGGGTTCCAATCTGTGCATTGTTCCATAATATCAGTCTAGAAAATTGTGGGAGTACATCACAGGCATTCTGGGATTAGCCCATGTATTTTGTCATCAAAGATCCAAAACTGAACAATGTTTTAGGAAATGTTAGCCCTTTATCGGGTGCTTAATACAGTGAGCATCCCTGTATACCCCCCCCC